TCCAGCGATCCTTCCACCTCGGCCTTCCGAGTAGCCGGAATTACAGGCATGTGCTACCACGCCTGGCTGATTTTTTGACTTATTGTAGAGATGCGGTCTCCCTGCCCAGGCGGGTCTCAAACCCGCAGGCTCAGGCAATCCATTCACCTCAGCCTCCCAAAGGCGCGGGATTACAGGCTGAGCCATCGAGCCCGGACAAAAAAAATTTTTTTAGAGATATGGCATCCCACAATGTTGCCCAGACTGGTCTCCAACTCCTAGCCTCAAGTGATCCTCCCTCTTTGTCCTCTCGAAGTGCTGGGATTACAGGCATAAGCCCCCATACCCGACTGATAACAGCAGACATTTTCAACCAGTAAGGTGCCAATTGGAAAGTTCAAACTCCATTTCTGTTAACTCGTAAACTAGTATATATTACTAACAGATATCTATCTAATGAGAAATACAATATTTTTACATGGCTGTTTTGATGTAGCCACCTTCGTTCAACATTTTGAAAGCACTTTTATACATAGGATTCTTACATAGCCAAATAAATTACCTTTTAAAAAACACTACATACTATACAAAATTAACTATTACATCCTGAACTTAAATCAGGACTTTCCTATGTTTCCCAATTTGTCCCCTAGTCTCAACCCACCCATCAGACTTTTTAAATGTTGATGGCACATTCCAGGTGCTGTAGATGGAGCTGTAATGTAGCTCCTTCTCTCGTAAAGCTTACATACCTGTGGGGAGAATGGCACAAAACACGAAGTTATATTTGTGAAATGAGACACACAGGTTATTGTGCTGGTTTGTTGAGGGGGAATCTGATCTCCCTGAACCTCATTTCCTCCCCGACCTGCTTCCCAACCCTAAGCCTCCAAGATAGTGTTGGGATGCCTTGGAGTATATTGCTTAGTGATTTAAAAACTTGGATATTTAATGCTTCCAGAGACCATTGGTCTAAATATGAAAACATTCCTGATATTCAAACTGTCACATAAAAATATCATATAAAATTTTTCCAGTTTTCTCATTTCAAAGGCCACCGAAGCAAAAGACTTACGTTATAAATTTATTATAAAGAACAAAGGCATTTTCCAAATTTCCTTCCTCCAGATACACAGATGCCATCCTCTCCATTTCTACTCCAGATCTAAAGTAGCGTCGTGGAGTGATGTCTTCACTGATGGTGATATTACAACCAAGCTTCCTTAGGGCACGGACTCGCTCTTCTGGTCTTAAGGAAACATCTGTGTGGTCAGGCATAGCAGCTAATTTTTTCTGCAAAGCAAAGTTTAAATCCCTGATTATAATAAAAGAATATAACTGATATTGTGGATGTATTTTCTCTACTAAAAATCTGACACCAACACCTAGGGATATCTTTTCATAAAAGTTAATAATATGATCAAAGGAAAGCCTTTATGCCTCAACACATGGTCTATACACCAAAAAAACAAACATGCAGGGTAAACACACATTTTTTTTTTTTTTTTTTGAGTCAGAGTCTCACTCTGTCCCCCAGGCTGGAGTACAGTGGCATGCTCACGGATACCGCAGCCTCAACCTTCTGGGCTCAGGTGATCCTACCACCTCAGCCTTCCTAGTAGCTGGAACTACAGGCATAAGCCACCACACTAAGCCACGACACAGCTAATTTTTTAAAATGTATTTATTGTAGAGATGTGGTCTTGCGATGTTGCCTAGGCTGGTCTCAAACCCATGGGCTCAGGCAATCCTCTTGCCTCTGCCTTCCAAAGTGCTCAGATGACAGACATGAGCCACCACACTCAGCCTAAAACACATTTTTATTGGAGTAGGCTCTCTCTTTAGGTTTCAGGGTACAATTGTGTAAAAATTTCTAAGTATGCAAATATTTTAGATAAAATATCATTGATCATCATATTTCTGTGAATATTTCCATCCTGTAACACGTAAAGCAGGCCAAGAGATGGATCCCTGTCATGGTAGGACTCATGTCATTCTAATCTGAAGGGTCTCCAGGAGGTAGATTGGATTCAAAGTCACTAAGATTCAATTCTATTCCAGAATATATCTAGTTCAGTAAGAAGTTTTCAGGGCCTCTCTGAATCTTCACTGAGAAAAAAAACAAACAACAACAACAAAACCACCAGTAAGTCCTAAAGAAGCTTTTTCAAGAATAAGAAATGCCCCTATTTTTTAAACATAAAAAGACGTATCCTCATATAATGACAATTACAGTTAACCAGTCCTTATCTGAGAAAATAAGTTAGTAAGAAAAGTCAGTGATATTAATTAATAGATTTGATTTTTATTAATAAAAAAGTATCTAAACACATGTGGAAAAGTATAGACCGTATGCAGTCAGAATAATTATTCAATTATTCAATAAAAAGTCACTGCTAGCCGGGCTCGGTGGCTCAGCCTGTAATCCCGCACCTTTGGGAAGCTGAGGTGAGCGGATTGCCTGAGCCCACAGGTTCGAGACCCGCCTGGGCAGCGAGACCTCATCTCTACAATAAATCAAAAAATCAGCTGGGCGTGGTAGTATATGCCTGTAATTCCGGCTACTTGGAAGGCTGAGGCAGAAGGATCGCCGGAGCCCAGCAGGTCGAGGTTGCGGTGGCCGGGAGCGGCCACTGCACTCCAGTCTGGGCGACAGAGTGAGACTTCAACTCAAAACAAACAAAAAAAAAGTTACTGCTTCAGAAAGGCAAAAAAGTCAGGAAATTTTATGTTATGGGATAGACTAGCAAATATTTTTGGCTTTGTCAGCCGTATGGTCTCCATTGCAACTTAAATTCATCTTTCAGTGTGAAAGCCACCATAAACAGTATGGAAACAAATAAGCCTGGCTGTGTTCCAAAAACTTTTATGTATAAAAACAAGCAGGTTGTTTGGCCCTTAGACCACAGTTTGCTGATCCCTACTTTGGACCAGTATGTCTCTAGGTATGGTCCATGTACTAGCAGCATCAGCATCAACTGGGAGTTTTCTGAAAATGCAAATTCCTAACAGGCCCTGCCTCAGATCTACAGACTCAGGACCTCTAGAGGTAGGCTGGAGAATTGATGTTTTAGCTAGTGTTCCTAGAGGTACTTATGCATGACACAGTTTGAGAAGCACAGCTTTAGATCAACTACTCTACCATCATTGGATGCTCCAAGAATGGAGTTAGCCCAGAGCACATTAGCTTCCTAAGGCTTCCTCTGTAGTTAAGAGTAGGTTGCAAGTCTGACTCCAGTAGGCGGAGCACTTGAATCAGGACTATAGAAAGCTATGAACGAAGGTCAAGGCAGGTGTACTTTTAGTCTGGCCATGAATTACTGAACTAATCTTCTGGGTCAAGGTGCAGTGAATTTGGAGTTTTTCCAGTGTCACCTGGTCTACTTTGGTGTTAATTTTATCGCAGGTAGAACCCCAGAGATCTGGAATGATTCTTGTTCCTAAAGATTTCATATATAGCCAGAGAGCCATAAACTCATTCCTCAAGACTCCATTAAGCCAGAAGCACATCTCTCTCGAACCTTCTATTATGTGGCTTCTCCACTTTAGAGACAGGAATTGGCACATGTGAACTCTGAGCCTTGGGCTTGAGTATTCAGTCTTTTCTAGTTGCGATGCCCCAAATACCAGGGCAATCCGTCCACCTTTCCCTAATCACATTCACCTGTAGAACTCAGCAACATTAAATGAAAATATTGTTGGTTGCCCATAGATAATTGCATCAGAAAATTGGACCAGAGAAAAAAAATCAATGAAAATTAGAGTATTTTCTAAAAGGGCTTCTAGCCTCTCATATGCACAAAAGTAACGTGTTCACATTTTACTACTATACAGCTCACGCTGAATTGTAACTATTTCTATACATGTATTTCCAACCTCTTATGAACTCCATGGGGTTTTGAAAGAAATAATTTTCAATTTATCTCTGTTTCCTAGGATGTAGGATATTCCCTGTAACATAGGTGATAATGAACAAGTGTATCAAATAAAAGAGAGAGAGAAAAATAAGGAAATGAGAAAAGGGAGCAATAAGAGATTATAATTAGATTATCTTTTTTCCCTGAAGATAAAAATAAGATTGATTTTTCCTTTACTGAATGGTCCTATCCTTCCCAAATTTAAAATTGATTTCAGAGATAAGTTAGGAAATATCCTAAAGTCTTCATCAGTGTATAATATTTCATTGCATGTGAGATTCTTGGATGAAAATACAAATTTTCCAAATAAAAAAAGCCTTAATGTTCAGCTTTACAATGACATGATCAATAACATTCTAATTATTCCTATGTAATATTCTAGAAAAACACAGAAGACATCCCATAAGGATGACTCCTTCCTCTGCAGATGTGGGAATGGGGCAGTCTTTATTAACCCCTCAGTAGAATGACATGAGACCAGAAAGGGAAAAAGTTTCTGCACTGTCTACTTCTCAAACATACTTTGAAAACAACAAAGCTCCTGTGAAAGACCTTCTTTCTGGTCAAGAAAAAACATTAGGTCATGACCTATTTCAGTGCAAGAACCAGCCTATCTATTTCTTTATGTCCTGGAGCTAGGCTTTGTGTGTATAAGATGCTCAGTATACTGCAGCTCACAGGCCTATTCCTAAGGGACGCCGTGAGTGGGATGGGGAGGGTTATCTGAAGGGCATTAGGAATGATGGTTTCCATGTGTCACGCCACCATGATAGGCTGGGAGCATAAAAGATATATCTTCCAATTGTCATAAGGCACAAAGTACAAAATCAGGGCCATAGAGATTACATAATGTGCCTATATTCACACTCAGACACTGATCTGGGACACAGAATAAGCCCATGTGATGCGAAGGCCTCTGTTACTTCCTTTCCAACACAAGCTTCTTTTAAGATGCAGCTAGAGAAAGTATGCTCCATGCAAGGCAGTAAAGGGAAAAGTGAGAAAAACAAGAACTTCACATACCCAGACATTTATACAAGGATGCAAAGCAGCACATAAGTGTTAAATATGAAACGTGTTCCTCAGTTATTGCCATACAAGGTAGGGCTCCAATTTTTTTTAAACTTTTATTTTAAAGATGTGGGGTACAATTCAGGGTTGTTGTACAGGTAAAGTTTAGTTCTCACTTTGGTTCCCACTTCCCCTGGTTTGAGATCAGGTAGGCCTCCAATTTTTATCTGTAAAGAAGTTGAGGCATGCTGGGTGCGGTGGCTCAAGCATGTAATCCCAGCACTTTTGGGAGACCGAAGTGAGAGGACTGCCTGACCCCAGGGGTTTGAGACCAGCCTGGGCAACTTGGTGAGATCTCGTCTCTACAATACAAAAAATTAGCTGGGTGTGGTGGTGTGCGCTTGTAGTTCCAGCTTCTTGGAAGGCTGAGGTGGAAGGATTGCCTGAGCCCAGCAGGTCGAGACTGCAGTAGCTGTGAGCGTGTCACTGCACTGCAGCCTGGGTGACAGAGTAAGACTCTGACTCAAAAAAAAAAAAAAAAAAGTTGAGGCACGAAAAGGTTTTAGGACTTGTTAAGATGTCAACTCTGAAATTCTTCTCCCCGGTGTTTTTCCAAAGGACTACATTCCTGGAATCTAGCCAGATAAATTAAAACTTTAGACTTTTGTGGAAAAAACAATTTATTTTTAAGTCTTGTGAAGATGGTTTATTAGTCACTTCCTCAAAGGAGACAACCACACAGATGGATGAAAAGTTACAAGTGCTAAACTTCTGAAAGGTGCTGTGACTCATTTCACATTTGCTGTGTTTCTGTTCTTCTTTTCGGGCTTTCCAACCAAATGTTAAATATCAGTTGGTGCAACCTACCAGAGAATTAAGAGTAAGCGGTTGGTCCATGTTGTCCTGTCTACAAAATGAAGGTGTTCACTGTTTCTTTTCAATCATCTCATCTGTTTCAAAGACAAAAAGCAGAGCTAAGGTTATTATTTGAGAACTCACATCTCAAATCCCAAACCCCAGGGTTATTGCTGCCTCAGACAAATATGAACAAATTGAAATAACATATAACCTGAGTGTTTAGAGAGACTGTTGGAAATTCCTGAAAATACAAAACTGTGAGTAGTTATGGTTTCTTGAAGGGGTGACCTTTAAAAGTGGAGGTGTGAAGGGAATTGGTATATGAATTTGCTGAGAGTTACCTTACTTGGAACTCCATGGAAGGTCATAAAGTAGGTTCACTTTCTTTAAAGGAAGAAAGAAGATCATCGTGGTTAGGAGCAGGAACTCTTAAACATGGAGCCAGTCTTGTGTTTAAACTCAGTCTTAGATGTGGTAAGCAGAATTCTAAGACAGCTCTGTGACTCCTGCCCATTGGTAGCTGTGGATTTCTGTAACCCCCCTCTCCTGTCGAGTGTGAATGAGACCTGCGGTTGGTTTCTAACCAAGAGAAGATAGCAAAGGTGATGAAATATCACTCCCATGATTGTGCTAATCATATGTCAAAGATGAAGAGATAACTGTAGAGATAGTAAGACCCCTAATAGTTGATGTGAAGTTAACCAAAAGAAAGATTACTGGGTGGGCTTGACTTTATCAGGTAAGACCTTTGAAAGAAGGGGACACTCTCCTGCTGACTTTAAAGACTCAGCCACTATGAGTCCTGCAGCTGCAAGGACATCAATTCTGCCAACAGTCACACAAGTTGGGAAGAGGACTCCAAGTCTCAGATGAGACTAGCACAAGTTAACACTCCAACTGCTGCCTTGTGAGGTTGTGTAAAAGAGCTTGTGCCCAGACTCCTGACCTACAAAGCTGCAAGATGATAAATGTATGCTTAGGCCATTAAATTCATAAATAGTTATAAAGCAGCAATAGAAAATGAATATGCTAGCTGCATGACTGAAGGTACGTTATATAGCTTTTTGTATATCTGAAAAATGGGAGGAGTAGTACCTATGTCATGTGGTTGTGGGAAGAAGTAAATAGGTTAGCCTAGAAAGTTCTTAGAATAGTTCCTAGCACATAGACAATATTTCATAAATGTTAGCTATTCTTAGAATCTTTATTTTGCAGTCAATAAAACTGAGGCTCAGAGATGTTACGTGAAAGTACCCAAGTTTAACATTAACTCTAAATGTTAGTGGTCTCCTTCCTCTCTGTGCTTGTTTAGGTCAAGCTCTACATCCCTACTTTCTACTTCTTCTAAATTTATGTTTCCGTTTATCACTCACTAATCACTTAGGTGACTTTGGACATGTGTCTTCTCATTTAGGAAACAAGGGGTTAAGATACATTCTCTTCAGTCATAACACTCAGTGATTCCAGAAATCTCAGGAGTAGATCAGTCAGTCCCTCCATGCCGTTTACTGGCCTGAATCCATGGCTGAGAAAACACACTCTTTGTATTTCAGTCTTTTTCCTTGCTGTTTTCAGAGATCCCTGGGGTAAACATTGGGCTCTAAGACTGCAGGTTACAATAACGCTCAAGAAAGAAAAAAACTTCCAGAGAGCTACTGTCACAAGGTCATTTAAAACCCAGTTAACAATTCTGGCACCAATTGGGGAATTACCACTTTGTAGTGAAAAGACACAAATCAGGGGGGAAAAAAGAGGTTAAAAGAGTTAAAGAGATAGAACAAAGCTTATGGGGAATTGTGATTGATTGGTACTGTAGGGATTGTGTAATACAATTCTAAAAAAGTCTGAAACGTTTAGATGGGTAAGTGGAATATTGCAGGCTGGGCAGGATTTAGGTGAGCTGAGGGGAGGAAAGGAAAAAGGTGTGTATTTCTGCCACTTCCTGTACCTGGAGCAAAGGTGTGGAGGCAGAACATACAGAGTGCTGAGGAGGACAGAGCATGTGTCAGTACTGGTCTTAGTCTTTCCTTATCAGTACTAGCCTTAGTTTCCCAAGGGCTGTGAACTGGAAAGGGAGGGGAACCGGGAAATACTAGTTAGTCATTGATTAGGGCCTTGTAAAAGAATAGAATTAGTTCTTCTAAGGGTTACTCAGATCCATAAACAGAGAGCAAATAATTTTAAAAGTTGGAAACATCAGGACAGCAGTTCTTAAATTTTACTGTCCCCCAAATCATATAAACCTGAGACCTATTTAGAAGGCAGATTCCTGGAACTCACACATAGGGGTTCTGAATCTATCCATTTAAAGCCCACAAATAGTCATTGTCTGGATATGATTTTAATTTGTAAGGTTTCCATATAATACTTTGCGAGACACTGCATTTGAGAATGTATTAAGCAGGATTCTAAGTTATAAGCAAAAACATTACTCTTGAATTTATAGAAGGATAATATGTTTTTTTTAGTGCAAATTTCCAGCATGACCAGAGAAATCAGGCTCAGAAGCTACACATCCAGGAATGTTGCCCTAAACCATACAGCACCATTGGTCTGGTGAAAACCACAACTGTCTCTGGCCTTTGATGACAAGGGACTCTGCAACTCCTACTACCAATACCAGCAACTTTAGCGCCTAGCCCTGGAAATTCTGTGCAGCCCCCATAAACTTCTGCATGTCCCTGGTTTCTACTTCTTCTTTTTTTTTTTTTGAGTTGGAGTCTCACTCTGTCGCCCAGACTGGAGTGCAGTGGCCGCTCCTAGCCACCGCAACCTCGACCTGCTGGGTTCCGGCGATCCTTCCACCTCAGCCTTCTAAGTAGCTGGAACTACAGGTGCGAGCTACCACGCCCGGCTAATTTTTGATTTATTGTAGAGATGAGGTCTCGCCAAGTTGCCCAGGTGGGTCTCGAACCCGCGGGCTCAGGCAATCCACTCACCTCAGCCTCCCAAAGTGCTGGGATTACAGACTAAGACACCGAGCCCGGCTTGGTTTCTATTTCAAGGCATGAGATGCAGGTGTCTGACCAGCAGATTCTAGGTCACACGCCTGCAGGCTGCAAAGATGGCTGAAAAGGTAATTATCTAGCACTTTATCTTCCTGTAGGGGACAGCAGAATGTACCAAGTGAGAAAAGGTGAATTCAGGGCTGGGTGACCGAAAAACAATGGCAAGTGTGCACAAGAACAAAGAAATCTCTCAGTAATGAGCATCTATATGTATGAAACATTTGATTAAACATATCTTAAACACTAGAATTTATTAAGTTGCTACAGATAAAAGCAATCACTATTGACTCCCACATATAAATATATTAATAATTAAGAAACAGAAACCAACTCCTTTCAAATCTCAGATGAAAGCAGCTCACAGATTGGTTGCTCAACTTATTTTTTGAAGCATTTATTACTTGACGGTAGAGGTCGTGTCTTAATATCTTCATTTTTAAATCTGCAGTCTTGGTTTTTACAGTTACAGTATAAATAATTGTCAATGTCAACATAAACAAGTATATTTTCAAGATCAGTAGTTCCCTGAGATCCTTTCAGGGGATCTGTGAGGTCAATATTATATTCATAATACTAATAAAATATTATTTGCTTAAAAAATTTTTTTGAGTTGGAATCTCACTCTGTTGCCCAGGCTAGAGGGCAGTGACATGCTCACGGCCACCACAGCCTCGATCTGCTGGGCTCAGGTGATCCTTCTGCCTCGGCCTTCCAAGTTGCGTGGTATGTGCTACCACGCTCGGCTAATTTTTTGATTTATTGTAGAGACGAGGTCTCACCAAGTTGCCTAGGGTGGTCTCGAACCCATGGGCTCATGCCCAGGCTTGAGTCACCATGCCCAGCCAAAATTTTAATTAATTAAATTTTTGAATTGGGATCTCACTCTGTTGCCCAGATTGGAACTCTTGGGCTCAGATGATCCTTCTACTTCACCATCTTGAGTAGTTGGGGTACAGGTCTGTACTGCCATGACCAATTTTTTTAATTTTACTTTTTTCTAGAGATGAGGTTTTTGCTATGCTGCCCAGACTGATCTCAAACTCCTAGGCTCGAGCAATTCACCCATCTCAGCCTCCCAAAGTGCTGAGATTACAGGCATGAGCCACCATGCCTGGATACTTGCCTATTTTTTTTTTTTTTTTTTGAGTCAAAGTTTCATTCTGTCGCCCAGGCTGGAGTGCAGTGGCATGCCCACAGATACCGCAGCCTGCTGGGCTCAGGTGATCCTTCCACCTCAGCCTTCCAAGTAGCTAGAACTACAGGCATGTGCACCACCACACCCAGCTAATTATTCTTTATTTACTGTAGAGATGAGGTCTTGCTAAATTGCCCAGGCTAGGCTCAAACACCTGGGCTCAGGCAATCCTCTCACCTCTGCCTCTGTCTCCCAAAGTGCTGGGATTACAGGCGTGAGCCCCCACACCCAGCAACTTGTTTTGTTTTGTTTTTTTTGAGTTGGAGTCTCACTCTGTTGCCCAGACTGGAGTGCAGTGGCCGCTCCCGGCCATTGCAGCCTCGACCTGCTGGTCTCCGGCGATCCTTCCGCCTCAGCCTTCCAAATAGCTGGAATTACAGGCATACGCTACCACGCCCGGCTCATTTTTTGATTTATTGTAGAGATGAGGTCTCGCTAAGTTGCC